GTAAATATAAAAATTGTCTTTAAATACTTAAGGGAAAAAAGTAAACAAAAAAAAAAGTTATTTTAACATAGAGAGAGTATATGATAAATTCATTTATAAATATATTTAATTCATTCTCTAATAAATCAATTATTTTACATGTTTTATTTTTTATCAACTAAATATATTTTTTAATTTTCTTTAATTAAATATCTATTTTAATTTGTTAGACTTTTTCACCATATATCTTTTTGACTTATAAAACTAATAATTTTAATCAATCTTTTACATATAATTTTATCTTCTTTCTTTTTATAAGATATATTAATGTCACTCATATTAAGAATATTATAGTCTTTTTGCATTAGTTTTAGTTTTAAGTTACATTAATTATTATTTATAATACATTTAATACATTTTAAAATATAAAATTATTGTGACATTAAAATCATATAATAAATAATTATTAATTTTAAGTTAATGTGGAAGATAAAGTGTCACCTCCATATAAATATATTTAGTTTTTAGCATGCATTTAATAATTAATATATATTGTAATTTTTTTATTTTTATCCTTTATAAAATTGGAATTTATTCATCTTAATAATGATAAAATAATTGAAAAGATAAAGATAAGAGGAGAAGAGAAAGAAAATGAAAAGTTAAAATAATAAATACATTTATTACATTTTAATGTAAAAATAATATTTTTCTTATTTTTTAGCAAAGCTTCTTCTCCCCATTAAAAAAAAAAAAAAACAAAGTTTCTTTCATAATTAAAACAAAAATAACAAAATTTAGTGCATATTTAATTCTTGAGGGTAATATTTTATATAATATATATAAAAATTAGTCATTGTTGGATATATAGATTTTCTTTATACATAGGGTAGCATTTTTTTTCCATTTTTAATATAAATTTTATTAATTGTTAATTTAATAATCAAATAATTTTTATCTCATTCTTCTATTTTTTTTTTATCTTCCTCAGTTATTTTTAATTTTATTTAATCGAATTCATAATCCTTACAAATTAAGGTTAAAAAATATCAAACTATTATTTTAATTAAAAAAAACTATAATTAAGAGAAAGTATTTAACAATTCTTTTTTCTTTTTTACATAAGTTTTTACCAACTCTCTTTTCTATGATTGCTTAACTTGCAAAAGTTTTTTTTATGGTTTTTTTTTCTTATCCTTTCTATCATTTCTAATTTTCTATCTTTTTTTTTGTTTATATTTTATTCCTTAACTTGTATTACAAACTATTCTAATATGTTAATATAAGTGCTCAAATCAACGTCACAAAAAAAAAGTGATTTGAATAAGATTTTAGTACAATTGAATGCATATTCCCAAATATATGTGGTAATAATATTGGATATATGTATATATATAATTTAAAAGAAATGTGAAGTAGAATTTAT